GCGCTTATGGGAATGCCTCTAGTGCTGTGATGTCAGTTCTTGGATCAAATCAAATCAAAAGCTGAAACGGAACTCAGCCGAAAATGTATTTATAAATTGTAATCGTTCTTCAGTATGACCATTCTTTATTCACTTCGCATTCACCGGCTGTAAGCTCCGGTGGAAAGTTCTGTTGGTTCGCCCACCACAAGACTTCTGTCTTGTACCATAACCTGAGTGTTGAGTGCACATCCGTTTTACATATATGGCTTATTTGTATGCAGACTGTTGGTTCCTTGCCTCTCAGGCAGATGCACCGACTTTAAAGGATGCCCAGTTAGTCGACTCATACGACATGCTTGTTGGGGAGGCAGTGGGTATGTTCTTGTTTTCCCTACAATGGGGCTCAGGTACCCACACGGAGAAGTATGACCATTAAAACGCAGTGGGTCCATTCGAAAATAGGAGTCGCGGCTCTTATCTACTTGAGAACCACTGTTTAGATGACGACACGTAGAAATCTGTATTACGTCACCAGTAACCAGTTGACAGATACAACTTTATGTATAAGGGTTCCTGGATCTTTCAGCGGCGCCTTGTTTTACCTTCACCTAGTTTAGGACGTTGAGTGTCTACCTCCCGCTAGATCAGGCCCTTATGATTATATGTCCGCTAGATTAGGCCCCTTGTCATTATACCTCAGGCTGGGCGAGGCCCTTGACATGATGTGTCTGAACCAACGACCTCCCTAACTGACGTGTTGTTGCGTCGCCCTGTTTTATAATGGTGGTGTACGGTCTGTGTTCCAGTTGTTTTGTTTCTTGCTTTAGGATATTATGTTGTAAACAGATCCCTTTTTACGCCTTTAGACCTATTGAGCGTATAGTAAAAGTCGGTGGGTCTCCACGGCGAAGCGGTCAAGCCGTGTGCCTTGCAATCTAAAAGTCACAGGTTAGAATTAATGACACGCTGACACACTCAAAACAATTCTTGGGATAATGCATTTGAGCCAACAGGGGCAGAGAACTAAAGAGACAGTTAAAGAGTGAAGTTTGAAGGATACGAAGGACATAGGGAGAGCTGCTTGCAATAGCGAAGGATAGAGCGACGTGACGTGAATTAATTGAAGGCCTATGCTCCATGTGTGTGTGTGGGGTGGGGGGGGGGGGGGGGGAATTGAAGGCAGAAAAAGAAGAAATTGTTCACATAGTGAGGGGAAACCAACAGACAATCATAAAACGGAGGCTGAAATGGGAAACAAATGATTAAAACGAGGATGTTTAAAGTAAAAAAAGCCCATGATGTACGATGTTGAGACAAGTTGCTGGACCAGATTCCGTCCATGATTTTGTAGCAATCGCACAGGATGGAACCAAATCAAGAATAAACTGCGAACCCTGTTCGACGTATACCAACGCTACATAATGATGATGGTGGGATAGTTATCTCTGTCTAACTATCTAATCTATATATCTATTTATTTATCTAGCTGTCTCTCTGTCTGTCTGTCTGCCTGTCTGTCTGTCTGTCTGTCTGTCTGTCTGTCTGTCTAGTATGAGTGTCTATGTATGTATGTATCTGTGTATCTATGTATCTATGTATGTACGTCTCTGTGAACGTATGTGTTTGTTTTTATGTGTATGAATGTTTATGGGTATGTGAGTGAGTGTGCGTATATTGGTGGGTGTGTGTGTGTGTGAGTGTGCGCATTTATTTTACCACCGATGTTTTTTTCCTTGGTGATTAGATATATTATTATATAAAAATTAAAAAAAAAACATTCTTTATTGATAAAATGCAAATGCTGTGTGAAAGATGGGTGTTTGGGAGTGCCGAATGTAAGACGGACCTGTGTGCCCAATTTGAGACCCTCTGGAAATAAAGTTCGTTCTATCGGCCTCTCTATCTATCTGTCGGTCTCTCTGTCTATTATCTGCCTGTCTGTCCTGGTCGAATGTAAGCCAGACCTATATGCCCAGTTTGTCATCCTATGGACTAAATTACAATGTATTCGTTTATTGGTTCGTTATGCCTGTATGACATATTGTTAATATATTTGATTGCTCAATGTATTCATTTCTTTTCCCTACCCTTCTCTCTCTCTCTCTCTCTCTCTCTCTCTCTCTCTCTCTCTCTCTCTCTCTCTCTCTCTCTCTCTCTCCCTCTCAATCTGTGTCTGTGTGTGTGTTGCACGTGATTTGACATACATCATAACGACATCAGGATGGACAGACCCACAAGCAAGCGGATATAGGAGTATCCCAAGTATCAGTTTTCCTTCTTCTTCCCTCTACTCCTGGAAAGCGTCGCGGCGTCAGGGCAGGAAGAGATCTCTGGAACGGGCCCTTCGGTTCGCTTCGTATAAAGTACTTTTCAGAGTCTCTAATGTTTCTGCGGTCCATGTTCTGCTCGGTCAACCTCTGGCTCTGTTACCATTGTATATGTATGGCATTGCTCTCTCTGGTGCCTTGTCTGATGCTAATCCTGTTACATGGCCAAACCATTTGATTTGTTGTCTACATATCAAGTTCATTATTGGTTCTGTGCCGACTCTGCTCCTGATATCATCGTTCCTAAGTCGATATTTTCTTGTTACACAAAGCATAACACATAAACATTTCATTTCTGACGTAAACATTTCATTTCTGTCGTGACTATTTTCCTTCTGTCTTCTGCAGACAATGTTTATGTTTAACGTTGATAGAATAGTGTTGGTAAGAATATTGTGTTAAACAGTATTCTTTTAGTGTTCATATTCACATGCTGCCATTTCAAAATTTGCGCTATTTGGCCTGAAACGTGATTGGCTTTATTGCATCTTTGCTGGATTTCTTTAATAATTCTTCTATCTTCTGAAAAAATGCTCCCCAGATATGTAAAATCCTTCGCTTGCACTTTGGTGTTCATAAATTTTTATACTGGTGGTTCTTTCTTTTCTGGAGAATGTTGTCACTTGTATTTTGTATACGCTGATCTTCATATCGAGGTTATCGCATTCTGAGTGAAGTCTATTTACATGTTCTCAAATACACCTGCTATAAATACAAAGATACCTTTTCACCAGTGCTGTTACATCAATGGAGACGAACACCTAAGCATGAACCCCAGTAATCTGCGACGGTGGCTGAGTTGGTTTCGCTCTATCGCCAACCCTTTCAGTTTCTCTGGGAATCCCCGAGTGCTAGGCAGAATGAAACACGTGAATGCTTGATGGCTAGTGTTGGTTGACAAATTGCCCGCGTGAAGAGTACGTACTTGTTACCTGTTGAAGTTGGCAGTTTTTGGGAGTTGTTGGCACAGGTGTGCTCGCCAGTGTCATCTAGTACCATCAAGTGTGGGGGCAAGGCATTCGTTTTCTTTCCTTCTTTCTTGCTTTTTTCTTTCTTTCTTGTTTCATTCTTTCTTTCTTTCTTTCTTTCTTTCTTTCTTTCTTTCTTTCTTTCTTTCTTTCTTTCTTTCTTTCTTTCTTTCTTTCTTTCTTTCTTTCTTTCTTTCTTTCTTTCTTTGTTTTTCTTCTTCTTCTTCTTCTTCTTCGTCTTCTTCTTCTTCTTCTTCTTCTTCTTCTTCTTCTTCTTCTTCTTCTTCTTCTTCTTCTTCTTCTTCTTCTTCTTCTTCTTCATATTCTTATTCTTATTCTTATTCTTCTTCTTCGTTTGTTCGTTCTTCTGCTCCTCTCCTCCTCTCCTCCTCCTCCTCATTTTTATTATTGTGTTTTTATTTTTCAGCTGCTCTTGTTTGCCAATGCTCTTCTTGCTGATCATCATCATCATCGTCTTCTTACGTGCTATTAATTATGGCATACATAAACACTACCAACACCAAGAACATGCACTCACACATGCAAACACATAGGCAGATATAGAAAGCCAGCCACACAGCCCCACGCGCAAACACATAGGCAGATATAGAGAGCCAGCCACACAGCCCCACGCGCAAACACATAGGCAGATATAGAGAGCCAGCCACACAGCCCCACGCGCATACACATAGGCAGATATAGAGAAGCCACCACCACGCCAACACATAGGCAGATAAGAGACATGCATGTACACACAGATATGCCACAAAACACATAGGCAGATATAGAGAGCCAGCCACAGCCCCCCCAGCAAACCCACAGGCAGATATAGAGAGCCGCCAACAGCCCCATAGGCATAGATATAGAGAGCCAGCCACACAGCCCCACGCGCAAACACATAGGCAGATATAGAGAGCCAGCCACACAGCCCCACGCGCAAACACATAGGCAGATATAGAGAGCCAGCCACACAGCCCCACGCGCATACACATAGACACACATAAGGAGAGACCCACACTAACACAAAAGACAGACCTACCGACAGATAGAGGCACTCGTTCGTGAGCATTCGTTTCTCCATCTTTGTAAATACATTTGCGTGCGAGTGAGTGTATGTGTGTGTGTGTGTGTCTGTGCTCGCGCGCGCGTTGTCAGCCCTTACATATGATTCACAATCTGTGTACTCGCCAAAAGCCCACAAACATTCACCTGAATGATTGTAACAGTTGCATAACCTCCGAAACCTCTAACGCTCGCACTTAAAATGCTTCAGAGTTAGAAAGCAATAATTGAAAGCACACAAAAATTCACGTCAGCTGTTTTTCTTGATTGCCTGTTTTTCTTGATTGCCATTTTTTTTCCTTACCTTCACAGCTTCCCTTCTGGTGGCTGGAGAATTTGAGTTCAAATCTGCAACCAAAAACACACTACAGGCCGAGAAGAAAAGTCCCTTGGTTCGGAACCTAAAGATTGTCTGTTACTGGAGTATCCTGCAGTTTTTGTGTAATTTTCTTGCAGGGAAATCGGAACTGTTCATGTCAAATCTAAAAGCATCGTCTTCCATTACTGTCGTTTCATATTACAGCGGATTCGCCCCTGATTCCATAAGTAGTCTGCCGGATAGACGTTTGTGAAATCTCGACGTTATTTGCATTGGTTTCTCTAGGCTGTGGAAGTAAAGATGGCTCTACGAAAGTGTTGAAACGGACAAGGTACACCAGTCATGGGCCTTTGGATGATGTTTCGTCGACGATGGCGTGTGATGTTATGGATAGTGTTTTTTGTGGTTATCTTTCTGAACGCGTTATTTGTTATTGACATCACCATCGTTAATAAGTTCAGTGGTTCAAAGCCTTCCAACACGATAGCCAGAGAAGCTTCGCATCTTCAGGTGAGTATTTTTTCTTTCTATTAGATATCTTATTATCTTTAACACATTCGATAAGATAATTACTTAGTAATATTTATGGTACCACTTTTTTAAATATATCTGCTGTGTCCATATTTAAGAGAGAGAGAGAGTGTGTGCGTGCGCGCGCGCGCGCGCTTTTTTTAAAAGTCGCTTGGTGGGTAATGTGGTCAACATCACGTCGGCCACTTTTACTCCACAGCTCATTACCAGGTACCCATTTAAAACCGGGATGATTTGAGGGTCAGAGTAATTTTCGTTAAATTCCTCTCGTTGTGGACTCGGAACATACGACCTTCAGGCTGGTAGACGAGCGTCTACCCACCTTACTGCCGCGGATTTCTCGTATTTAGTTAAAATTATATAAACTTAACTTTAAGAGCATGCTTGCAAGAGAGAAAGTCCTGCCTACACAGGACACCTGTTACTTCATTTGGCGTACTTCATACCGTTGTATAAAACAAGTATCGACAGCAGTCTGCTGCAAATCGCTTGCAGTTGGAATCCAACCGGGTATCTCAAAATAATAAACTGCGTTCGCCTAAGCCACAGATACCGAAGCAGTCCCGAAAAGGGCGTTATAAAACGGTTTTGTCATGCCAGCGTGGCACGTTGAAAATACGCCGCTTGGCTTATATATTGTTGTGAACAGACGGTACTCTGCGGGTAATAAGGTCAGGATGTTTCGACCCTGAACGTCAAGGGAAATTGTTTATTTTGTTTTGTGCCCACTGATATTGACCACACACACAAAGAAAACATTTTATGTTTGAACAGTTTTCAAAATGAGGGTTTTGGACCTTTGGGGAGTAAAGAGACGCCATCGATGGGAGTGCATTTTATCAAGCCAATCAATAAGCCTCAAGGAACTTCTGTGCTGTTTTATCTATTTATATACGCTACGGATTTTCAGAGGACTTATATATATATATATATATATATATATATATATATATATATATATATATATATATATATATATATATATATATATATATATATATATATATAAATTCCATTGGAAGTCCTTTTTGCCTTCCCCTCCCATAGACACAGCAGCCAATTTATCTCATATAACCCAGTATTTCCCCCACACATACAGATGTTAATTAATGTTTCCACGGAGATAAAGAGAAGCATCGCCGTATTATTGTATATATTATTTAGAGAAGACGTCGCGATAGCACAACGGCCAGCTTATTCGTCCGCCGGCAATTAGACCTTTTTTTAGGGCTCAGTCGCACTTTTTTTAACACATATACCAACGCAGTCGGTCCACCAGGAAATGTCTAGGAAAGTAAGACAACCGACGTGATACTGACCATATCACTCCTGGAGTACCGCCTATAGCCTATACAAATATAATGTTACCCTTGCCTTGTGTGGAAGCTTCGTTTACAAAAACGTTAGAATGCAGAGAAATAAAATTGCACAAGTTGAGTTGAATTGACTAAAGAACCTACAATTCATCACCCGCGACACTTCCATTGTCTGTCTTCTATATATATATATATATATATATATATATATATATTATATATATATATATATATATATATATATATATATATATATATATATATATGTCTGTCTGTCTGCCTAGCAGTCTACCTGTCTGATTAACTGCCTATCTTTCGTTTATGTAAATCAGCTGTTGTCCACCTTTGGGGGGGGGGGGGGGGGGGGGTTGTGGGGAGGAACCGCAAGGAAATTCTAGAAAAGGGTGCAGGGCGCCAAGCAGTTTTGATATTATACTTAAAAAAATTTTCTAGTTTAGTTTAGATATTAATAGTCGAGCTTGATATGGACAGTGATCTCTGCTGTAACTTGTCCAGCATCAGACCCATACAGCAGATATCATTAAGACAAAAACTTTTGATTGTTGACACTAAATTACCTGTTGTTGGTTATTGTTTCTTTTATGTTATTAGTCACTTTGATTTATAGGGATGTTTTTCTCAGATTTATGGTTAATACTGCTTAGAATTTTTTTTTTTTTTTTTTTTTTTTTTGTCCTCTTCTTTTCAATCATACTTTTAAAAGGGAGCATAGGGAAATCCTTGGGGGACTTGTCATATATTCAAGAAAGGTGAGGGGAGGGGGAGGGGGCCGCACTTAAAAATGTTGAAATCACTGATACATATATATGTGTGTGTATGCATGTGTACCTTCGTACTTAGCCGCCTGTGTGTCTACTTATGGTTGCCAGCATGTATTACATAAATAGATAACCCATTCATATAATGTTGTGCGTATCCTTTACAGGACGTTGCAGAACCAACCCCAACAGTCCCTAACTGTTGTGCGGTTTTTCTAGGCAAATGTACGTCCAGTAGTTTGCCATAGCTTTCTGGACGATCGGCTTTCTTGATACCACTGTCGAAACCAACGCAAGGCGCATGGCCCGCAGCTCAGAACTAACCCGGCATCCCGGCATTACGAAGCGTTCGCATCGACTTAAGCCGACCCCATTCATATACTAGCTTATATTTTTTTTCTGTCTGTAGGTCTGTCTATCTTTTATTGTCTTGTCCCTAATGTTACTAATTTTGCAGAGCAAGCATGTAACGAACTTGGCATTGCCGATGAAACTTTGGAAACTACAAAAATGAAATGTCTACGACGAATCCCAAGTATTAGCTAGAAGAAACGGGATCATAAATGACGATGTTATGAACGAAGTTAGGACGGAACGAGTACTAAACTACATCAAGAGACAACAGATCAGATGGTTTGGACACGACCGGCTCCAGCTAAGTCGTGCTGACGTCACCGGCTCGGGCTAACGATGCTTTAACGCAGCGGTTCTCAACCTGGTTACCGAGGCACCCTGGGGTGCCGTGAGCGTTTGCCAGGGGTGCCGCGGCAATAATCAAGAAACGTCGGCTAAAAACTGTGAAATTATTAAAGAGAGCATGAAGATATTTAAAAGTTACAATTTAAATTATCTTTCCTCGCTACTATCGAAAATATAGTTTACTTTTTGTTTGAGAACAGCTGCGTAAACGTATCGTCAGCCCGACCCGGTGACGTCAGCAGCACGGGTTACCAGCCTATCGGCCTCTGTCAAGACCACCATCCTGTCAGACATAATGAATACAGAATCCAGAAGTCGACCACGCAGGCGATGAATAGATGGAATAGCAGAGCCCGTAAATGCCCGCATCCAAGTAACACATTTAGAGGATCTCACCCGGTGCGTCTTCAAAACCTGACGCTGAAAGGCAAAACAGGAATAGAGAAGAAGACCACGAAGAAGTATTTTCCCTAAACCTTTATAATCGACAGCTGTTACCCCCCTGCTGTCATTAACTTTCTTGATCTGAAGTAAGTTGATTGCTTCATGCACGTCCTTCCGTCGTTTCATCTTTGACGTTTAGAGGTATTTTTATGTATGCGGCTGCTGCTCAAGTCGCGGTAATGTGTTGTTTATATTTTATTTATGTTTAACACATTTTAATGTTTTCTTCCCCTTTCTTTAATGCTATGTAATAGTGTCTGTGAACGTTCGTGGATGAGCTTAATTGTGTATGTGGTGCGTGCACATATTTTGGTACTGTGTTTTTTTTTTACCATTTCATTATTTATTTATTTTTAATTTAGAGGTCCCTTCCTCCACATCCTTTTTCTTCTTATGCTTTATTAACCCCCTTACTTCCTTTTTCCTCCCCAACCTCCTCTTTCATCTCTATTCTCTACCCCACTCTTTCTTCTTCTTCTTGTTCTTCTTCTTGTTCTTGTTCTTGTTCTTCTTCTTCTTCTTCTTCTTATTATTATTATTATTATTATTATTATTATTATTCTTATTCTTCTTCTTCTGCTTCTTCTTCTGCTTCTTCTTCTTCTTCTTCTTCTTCTTCTTCTTCTTCTTCTTCTTCTTCTTCTTCTTCTTCTTCTTCTTCTTCTTTCTCTTCCTCCTCTTCTTCACCCTCTTCTGCTATCTTAAGGTAAAGAATGGGTAGTTAGCCAGCTCACCTGAAACGTTTTGTAGAATTCTTCATGTCTAGACACAACCGTACGGGAGCAAGTGGATAATGCCGCAACCAAGGGATCTGGTCGACGCTCAACACTCGGGAAAAGGCAAGACGGACCTACAATCCCGCTGTTACTGGTCCCATCTGAATTATAGTGCATTAAAAACATCGGTGCCGATGTTCAAACAACTATACCTCAGCTGTAGTGGAATATGGACGAAATTAAAAAATGACGAAATTACCCCCCCCCCCCCCCCCCCCCCCCCCCCCCCCCCCCCCCCCCCCTCCCCCAACCGCATAACAAATAATTAAAACGCATTGTTTGCTGTTTGAGATAAATAAATATACGGTGATCCTGGTTGAACTGTCTTTTAAGAATTGTACAGCAATAAATTCGAACGTAACCAACCCACCTTTCATAAAAAGACGTAAATCTCATGTTTTACATAAATTCTGAATAAGATCACAACTGTTACTCTGAAAGTGTCGACATGGGCTGTAAATCAGTGTCTACCAAGCTTCGTCAGAAGTTGCAAGAGCGTCACTATTGTTTCTAGTTCCGGTGTTATCAGAATAACTCTGAAAGTTAATTCATTATAGTCATAACAGTACAGCTATGTAAATATTTCTCGTTTGGCTAACTACGGTTGTCTGTATCCTTTTTTTTTAAACCTAGAGAAAAGAACAAAACATATCTGGACATTCAAATACCAATCGGACATTCAAACGATGGGCTATAGAATAGTTAGTCCTTTCTTCGAATACTAATGTTGCGCCAGGAGGGACCGATACATAATTATTGACGCTGAAGAAATTCAACAAAACAATGGCATTAATATATTCAGAAGTAAATTATCGAAAATTGTAAGAGATGCAGGGACTTTCGCCACCATGGCAAACAGTTGCAGAAACGCCTCTATCTTCTATCATACTTTGGTAGTTTGATTCACGTCTGCACTGTAAAGTTAGTTTTGTTGCCTAACAAAAATTATACAAGTTAAGAAAATA